TTATTGAAAATGGGAAATCAAAAAATCTAAATTTCCCATTAAAAGCAGGAGAAATAACACGCACAAGAGGCGGCAAGCGCGTGGGGACCTTTAGTTTCTGGCAGCAGCAGCAGCCCACTGGTCCTTTGATTGGCACACTCTGGGGCTGCCCAGCCCATGGAGCACAGGTGAATTGATTACCTGTCCAAGCAGCAGGTGGAGGAAGATGTGGGGCAGGAGATCCGGACATGCTGAGTGAGCTGCAGGAAAGCTGAGAGTCGGTAGGCTGGAGCAGGTGGCTGGCTGTGGGAGGCTCATCTTCGCGCGGCGGCATTGGCAGCAGGCAGAGGCACGGAGCAGAAGGCAGGTGATCCTGACAAACTGCACGGGCCGCAGGCAAAGTGAGAGACACAAAGACAAGTCAACCTGCCAACTCTGGCCCACTGACTCTTTGGCTTTCCCCTGGCCCAAACAGCGCATCCAGATCACTTGCCTTCCCCTACCTATGCTTCCACCTGCTGCTTGGACAGGTAATCAATTCACTTGCACTGCATGGGCTGTGACTGGTCCCGGACACCATCGGCCCATGCATGCGCATAATCTCCTGTGATGGCCATGCCCACCCCCTTCACTAGGGCTTATGTTTGGTGTAGGGCTTATATTAGGTGCATGCCAGTGGTGGGTTTCAAAAATGTTTACTACTGATTCTCTGGGCGTGGCTTGGTGGGTGTGTCTTGGTGGGCATGGCAGGGGAAGGATACTGCAAAATCCCCATTTCCTCCCGATCAGCTGGGACTTGGGAGGTAGAGAATAGAAGGGGGGGCAGTCAGAATTTTTACTACCGGTTCTCCGAACTACTCAAAATTTCTGCTATTGGTTCTCCAGAACTGGTCAGAACCTGCTGAAACCCACCTCTGATCCATGCTTAAAAATCAGGCTACAGCTTATTTTGGGGGTAGGTCCTATTTTCGGGGAAACACGGAGCTAAAAAAATTTGAGGACAAACCTTCAAAGTGGCAGTGCAGCTTTCATGGATTTTAAAAATTAAAACAGGCTAGTAGTGTAACTTTAGATTTAAAAGTGAAATTAAAACTTTTTTTATCTAAAACCCTAGAAGGTAGATATTAGGGGGGGTCCTCAGGGAAGGGTGTTTCATAAGATAGCAAAGTTCACATTCTAGACAGAGAAGACCACTGACTTGAAAGAAAATCAAAGAGGACATATATGTTAAAATTGAACAGCTTGCCCTCAACAGAGGGGAAGAGATACAACACCACCTATCTCCTGTTTACAACACAGTCCTTTCAGCAGTCTCAAGAAGGTTCTACATCTATTTACACTCTGATTCAGGTGACCCTGACGATACTGATAAACCCTCAACAACAAGGGGTCCTCTGTGCTCTCTGAGCTTGCTTGTTTTCTTGCAGATGTTTCGTTACCCTAACTAGGTAACATCATCATCACTAGCACCAAGGACCCCTCATTTCAATCCTGAGCTACAAATATTCTCCTTTATTGGCCTCAACAATTTTAGCTCAGAGAGCTAATGACCTCTCATAGCAGCTCTCAGAGTGCTAACAACCAGATGACTACAAAGAACATAAATCCTTCTGTTCCCCACCAGTCAGTTAGAACTGTTGAAACTTCTTGGATGAGAAGTGAAACTTTTTCAAAGAAAAAAATCCAAGCAAGTCGGGTGATCTTTTGGAAAAAGCACCTTTAGGACAGCCATGACCTGGATGATTGAGAATATCTATAGACATTTAGATTGCTACAACTAGTAAGTCTCAGTCCTACTAAACTTCTATCATACATCATTTGGTGGAGACTCCTAGAGATGCTTCTCCAAAGATGAAATTTGAATTTACTTATTTTATTTATATATTATTTCTTAACAAGATTTATAAAAGGCCACCCAGCTCAAACAGTTTGGTATTGGTTTGGTACATTTTTTTTTTTAAAAAAAATCCTTGTTAAACAGTGTGGTACTAATTAGGAATGTCTGTGTGATATGATGCAACACCTATAAATTTGCATCATCTTCCAAAGTCTACTGGAAGAATAAATGAAATAATAGCACGAATACACACTACTAGATGTTTTCCAAGCTGTGCAGGATGGTATTATGATGTCTTCTAACATTGACATAATGCTTATGTTTACACAATGCAAAACTGTACCTGATTTGAACTTCAGCAGCATGTGATTAAATATTGTTCTGCCTATCTATCATAAAAATGCTATCATTTGGGTTTTACTTTCTTTAAGACTTACAGTCCTCCTGAAACCCTCCTCCATCCCAAAAAAAGATTATAGCATCAGCCCTTTAATTAGAAGGCCAAATGAAGTATTTGTATTGGCGAGCCAGACATAAATAAACTCCCAGTCATATTTCACTTCTAACCACATTTTGGATTTCAAATTCTTCTCTCAGTTTCGCCACATATCCCAGTCCTAGATTAGGCCTGGTTGGGGCTCTGTAAACTGCCCCTTCCCATTCTGTGAGTTTATTGTGAGATAGGAAAATCAGGGTGAGCATATGGGCAACGTACCTTTCCCCCCCTAAAAGGGGGTGAAAATTTAGCCCTGCCCACCCACTGGCCCCCACCCTTTGGCCTCTGCCTTCCAGCAGTTATCTCCTTGCACCAAGCAGCAAGAAGAAACAGTTCCTTTCAGCTTAGCATAGCCTAATTAGCACAAGTTGATTGGATCGGCCTCCCGACTCTCAGCTGTTTTGCTGTCAGCTGTTTTGCACAGGCCTTTGCTGCTTGCTGCAAGGAGGTAAATTGCTGGAGCAGATTTTTTTTTACCTTGTGCTAATCAAGCTATGCTGAAAATGAAAATGAAAGCAAAGCAGGCTGTTTGCTGCAACGAGGCAAAATTGCTGGGAGGCAGAGGCAGATTTCTTTTTCTTGTTTGCTTCACCAAAAAAGGTGAGAAAAATACGGTATCTCCTGATGAATGATGGTCATCCACTTCCCACTCATTGCAATGCAGACATTGTCAGGAAGATGTTCTATTGACCATAAATTCATGTTTACTCACCCACACGTCTCCCCTCAGTTTGCCTGGGGCTTGGAGTTTCAGCTGAAATTTCTTTGCCGGAATATTAGATTCAGTTAATGCTGCCATCCAGCCTTACTATCCTACCTCAAAACTCAAGTTATCAGCGTACTGGTGGTCCATTGAGTCACCTGTCACTTGGTGCAGTTTTCTTGGCAACATTTTCAGAATAGGCTGGCCAGTATCTTTTTCCTAGAGGGAAGGGAGGGAGAGAGGGGGCAAGGTCACCCAGTTGTTTTTCATGTCTCTGGCAGGATTAGAATTCACAGTCTTCCTGCCTGTAATCCATGGTCTTTATTTTACCTATTACATCGCATTGATTTTCCCAATTGATCGGACATAATTGGCCGGTGTTTCACTTGTGTCAGTCTATGTATTTTGGAATTAAGACAAGAAATGTTAGTTTTTAAACTGCCCAAATGTAAGCCAATCAGTCTGGATGTGATCAAAATCAGAATAGCTGTTAAATATGTATTTTCTTGCCCCTGTAAGAGAACAGCCTTCCTGCTTTTTTGTTTGCCTGAAGTAGAAATTCAGGGCAAATCCAGTATAGGTCATTAACACATGGCCCAGAAAGAAGAGATGGCAAAAATAATGATGTCATTAAATCAAGCTTTATGAATATGTAACGATGCCTTATTTTGCATTATTACAGCTGTTACTTAAAACATGCCTCAGCCATTGTCCCATTGATTGTTAATTTCTGAGCTCCGTGTGAAGTCTCTGATGACTCCAGAGAAGGAGCTTTAAAGGGCCTTTGAGAGATTAAACAGAAAACACAGAGAAAAGCCTTTTGGATCTGTGTCTGGGGATGTTGAAGAAAAGGAATTAATCAGAAGGGTTGAGGTTAAGCATTCTAAAGCAGAGGAGCTGCCCATTCATAATAGGACTCCTTACATAAAGGGGAGGCTCAAAGATTTGTGAATGAGGTTAGAGCCCAGCATTTGATATGTATGGCAGTTAAAAAAAGAGCTCTAGAGGTTAGCAATAATTGCTAGGAGGAGGAGGAAGGGCACGGGATGTAGAATGTGGGGAAAAGATATTAACAAGTTAAATGTGTTCTGCTCTTTCATTGCTATAATGCGAAGCTACTTGGAATTAAATCCTCAAGGAAGACTTTTTGCTCTGCACGGGAGGTGAAGGGAATTTGGAGAAGATAGTTTCATCGCAAATGATGATTGGGAACTTCTAATCACTCTTTGTGTCACATTTTGAGGATGCATGTGTTTATAACTCCAGTGCAAGAAATGGCATCAAGTCTAAATGAGTCTCATATCTATACCAGAAAGGTATAAAGTATAAGCTTTATGGGTCTCCCTAACCTGATGGTGCGTATATAGCCTTGCTGATGGAGGATGATAGGTGTTGTAGCCCTGAAGGCACCAAATTATAGGACTGTAAACTCTAACACGTTCTAACAGTGGCGATACATCATACATTTAAGGAAAAGGGACATTAAATTATTGATCTATATCCCAGCAATAATTTAACATATTAGAGAGATCTGAAGCCTTTAAAGCAACAATTCGGTTATGCAATGGGAGAAAAAAAATCAAATAATTGGTTGGGATTGATTACAATGCAATAATATCTGAAAAGCCAGGAGTTGGCATTGGCAAAAGGTGGAGTTCAAAAAAAGACATTCTCTTCTTTCCCAATATATAATTTGGCAAGCTGATTAGGAAAACACAAACTTATCTTTTTGAGCATAGCACTGTTGTATGCCTCCAGTTTTCATCTGTATGTTTTTGAAACTGACTGGGTTCCTAGTTTGAGAGTTTGAGAGTTACCATCTGACTGGATTATAAGCACAGTATGCATTTTTTTTAAATTTCTAGGTTCATCAGGCTTTCTTTTGTATATATTGCAAAATATGCTAATTCATATTTCTTAGAAATGAATCATCATAACTTTTTTTTAAATCTCTTTTTCTTTCTCTCTCTCTCTTTTTCTTATAGCTCCACCAGCTCTAAAACTATCTGTGAATGAGACTTTAGTGGTAAATCCAGGGGATAATGTTACCATATACTGTTCGTTAACAGGCGGGGATCCTTTGCCTCAGGTAGTCTGGTCTCACTCACCTGGTCCTATGCCTCTGAACAGCCTGATTCAAGGGGGCAATCTTACCATCTGGGGCATTCAAACCGAAGATTCAGGTTATTACAACTGTACAGCCATCAACAATGTGGGGAACCCAGCCAAGAAGACAGTGAGCCTATTGGTGCGATGTACGTCTTTCTATTAATCTAATTGGGGATGGAGCCTGAATTTCCAACTCACTTTGTTCCTTTTAAAGATTGGAATAAATTTAAGACTGGTACTTCAGGACAGAAAGAGTATTAACCAAGCTTGATTTTATATTGCATTGCTTCCTTTCCTTCAGTCCTCGTAATTTTCAGGTTTGTTTTTAACACATAAGTGTGTACACATAAGCATACACATATATATATTGCTTCACACTAGTTACATTGAAAGGAGAGGGGGTTTTGATAGGAGATGGATGCAAACAATTAAGTTTTCTCGTGTTCTTTAAAACTCTTCCCTCTCTTCTTGTTTTTCTCCTGAGCTCTAAAGTCATTTCTGTCAAAGCAACCGCTCTTGTCACATTCCATATATTGATGGTCAAATTAATACATTTGTTGTGGCCCACCAGCGGCTAGCAGAGCTGGCTAGCAGAGTCGGACAGTGAAAAGGTTGGGGAGGAACTTGGGTCAGTCCTGGGGGCAAGGGAAAGCTCGGACGAGGGCTCTGTGTTGGAGGCAGAAAAGGAGATAGACAGCAGTGAGGCAAAGGAACAGCTGGAGCCTCTTCCCAGTGTGCACATGCGCAGAGCTGCCAGAAGACAAGAACAATTAAGAAAGCAGGTTCAACTCGGGAGTAAGGCCACACCTTGGAGATAATTGGTCCCTCCCATAGGAAATAAAAGAGGAGCAAACAGAGAGTGGGCTTTTGCAGGAAACAATTTGTTCATTCCGTGACTCTGAGAGACTCTGTTCCAAGTTTTGCCTTGTACTCCGGTTGGAAACAATTCATGTGGCAGCTTGCCAAACGAGACAAGGTGTGTTGAGAAATATTCCTTTGAAAAACTGTTTGGACAAACCTTGCTGACTGTGAATGAACATAATTCACAGTTGTGTAAATAAAAGAGGTTTTGCCAGTAATTCCTGCCTCCTGCTTATTAAGGGAGCCTTGGTCAGAACAACATTATATTTGCATACAAGCATGAGGTAGCCTGTTCAAAAATCATGTTTGTATCCCTCTCCTATCAAGAATGAAATTATAGCAAGGAGGGGAAGGATATTCGTTCCCCCCCTGCATCATAGATTCAGTGAAAACAACTTTCCAGAATTATTTCTGTCTAAGAAGAGGAGATGCTATGAAACAGAATGTTAAATTCTGTTGAATGTAAGAATGTGAATTATATGGTGTACTTGTTGCGTTATATAGCAACTCAGATTTCTATGTCCTGTCAATCAGGACATGACATGACACAACATGACATGATATGACATATTTTGACCGTTTGAAGATCAGGCACTGATATATTCACCAGTTTGGCCTTTGTATTTCCTCTAGCCATGAAGAATGTAACCTTCCAGATCACTCCTGATGTCATCAAAGAGAGTGAAACCATCCAGCTAGGCCAGGACCTGAAGCTCTCATGCCATGTGGATGCTGTCCCACAAGAAAAAGTTTTCTACTTCTGGTACAAGAATGGGAAGTTGGCCAAATTCTCAGATCGAGTAGTTGTCATCAAAAATGACCCCGAACTTCCCCCTGTGACAAGCAGCCTAGAGATAATTGATCTCCGTTTCACGGACTATGGTACATACTTGTGTGTGGCATCTTTCCAAGGAGCACCCATCCCTGACCTTAGTGTCGAGGTGAACATTTCTTCAGAAACAGGTAAACTTCCATTTAATTTTCAACTTATCCACAAGCCCGATTAAGGATAGAATACAGTTAAAAAAGAATGTACGCTTTCATCAAAATCTTTCCCAGGAGCTTCATAAAGAGCCTAAGCTCTGTTTACCAGATAGGTAGATTAGCTTTAATCACAGGATAAATCCTTTTCAAATTATTTGGAGGGTTTAAGATGGAAGGCTGCACTGCTATGCAACTTCTTTTCTCTCTGTTCCAAATTTTTTTGTTTTCAGATAAACGACTACAGAAAAAGTAAGGCTGAGTAAATTTATATCTAATATTTCATAATCCATATTATGTTGTTGTTTTTTAATCTAATGTTTTATTTCTATTTCTTTAAAGCATAACAAACCTTTCAAAACAAAAAGGCATAAGAGTATAGCATGTTAAAGTGAAAGACAGATTCATCTTTGAACAGTTCCCTGCACAATAGAAACTTCTCTGCATATAGATCAGTAGCAAATTGGGAAGAAGGAATAGGAAGGGTGTAACCATTTAGCCATGCAAAGTGGCTATGAGGAAGAGTAACTTTGTGATATTCTTTGAGGATGATATTACTAATGCCTTGGGAAGTTCTGGCTAAGAGCCAAATTTTATATGGCACTAACTACATCACTGAAACTAGATCAGGGTTTTAAAATAAATGTAATAGATGTGGGGAATGATATTCATTAGGGATAAATCCAAGGGAAAATTATTGAAATTTTCCATCTCTAGGCCCTAGCCAGAGGTGAAATCTACTTACCTTCCCTACTGGTTCGGAAGTGTGTGTGCATGTGCACATGCATCATGTGTGATTTTGGACCCTTTGTGCATGTGCAAAGCCTTCTGCGCATGTGCAGAGGGTAAAAAAGGTTACTTCCTGGTTAAAACCAGGAAATAACAACAACCGTGCGGCTGGGTGGAGCCTTGCGCTGCTGCCACTACTGGTTCTCCGAACCACCTGCCGCCGCCACCACCGCCGCCACTACCGGTTCGGCTGAACTGGTCCAAACATAGCATTTCATCCCTGGCCCTAGCCCCTTCCTCTGTGCACACATGCACTGTGATGTTTTTGTTTTGTTTTGTTTTTGAAAAAAAAATACCTTGTTTGTGCTAGCGAGTTTTGTTTATTTTATTTATTTAGTTCAAAACCATCCACAGTGTATTGTAGCGAAATTTCTGCAGGGATTAAAACCTGCCCTCCATATGTAGTGTCCCATTGAAAATAACCTTCATACTTATTGACTAAAACAAACAGTGGTTTATTTTCTAATGATTCACTTAACATCACATCTTATTCATTTGTCAGAGGGATTCAGAGGTCAGGCAGATAGAGAACAAAGCTTTCTGAAGTATCTTTGCAACAAAGGTCACAGGTGCCTATCAGAGAAACAATGGGAATGCTAGCAGTCCACTTAAAACAAGTTTCTAAAAGAAAATCCTTTGCGAGGCTCTTACCACAGAGAAATGCAGAAGTACTCTGAATGGAGTATGGAACTATAAATACACCCAAACACACACATACATACACCCCAAACAAGAAAGAAATTGAAAAAGAAAAGTATGCAACTATACCTTTCACACTTCTTTCTATCAAGTAATCTTAAACTTTTCTCCATAAGCTTGTTTTTAATCACCAAATCCCAAGATCATATTCTTCTCTCTCTCTTTTTTTTTCAATAAAGAGTCCATATAAAGTTTCCACAGCTGTAAAAAAAAAAAAATCATGGGTTTTGAAAAGGCTTTACTATGTTTGTACTGAAGTGTGGATCTTTCCCCTAGTTTGAACACAAATAGGAATGGTGGTGTATTTATTCCCTGGTTTTCTGAATCTTGTTCCCCTCATAAGATTTAGCAAGCAGGTCATCCAGCATAAGGGTCCCAGAAAGCCACCTTTAATTAAAAACTTTTCAAATGCAATTTACACATTTTTCCCATAAAGAAAATTGTCTCCTGCCAGGTGAGCATATGCCGGCAGTACTGAGCCATGCGGGTGCAGCTCAATCTTCACACCATATAAGAGAGGATTTGATGAGATTCCATAGCCCACAGAAGACCTGCAAATTGAAAATTCACCTTCTTATTGCCTAGTGATACAGCTGATGGAGATACTGGATGCTAGACCTACATAAATATGCCTTTAAGCCAGCTATGAGCTATATTTTTGTATGATTAAAATCATCACACTCCCTCTTGGCCCTCTTACATTTATGTGTTACACGCAGACATTACTTGGTGATGCAGGTAAAAATAAATTTGGAACTTTTACATTGCATTTTTTAAATCCCTTCAAAATGTAAAAGTATACATAAATATATTTGAGGAGAGAAAGAGAACTTCACAAAGAAGTACAATTATATCAATTTCAATTATATTTTAGTACAAATATACCCTACAATAATCTTTCCCAACAGATGAAATACCAGTTTTACTGAGGTATACAACTCCTGGAATTTTTCTAGTGAGAAAAAAAAAGTTATAGTTCAAATATATTTGGAGATCAGCAAATAGGAGTAGGCAGCCCTGAAGAATCTGTATCCCCTAATTATAATCTTAAAAAGAGGGCAGAGAAGATGGTGAAGATTATGAAGAGAAAGTTCTGAAAGTTGGAGGAATTGCAATACATTCTATGGAACAATCAGAAAGATGATAGAACAAATTCATTCTTTGTATGCAAGACATTTGGACTTGAGCCAATGGGAATGAGTTACAGACTGCTTCATAAGGTGACAAAATTTTACAGCATTTTCAATCATTGAAATAAAGGGGTTGGTAGGTACATTGAAGGTCATCTAGCTCAGCTCTCATGTCTTCACTGTTTTCTCTGCTCCAGACTAAAACCTCCATCCAGAGGAGTTCCTCATCCACTAGAAGCCACTGGAGTTGGAGGCCAATACATTAAAAATAATAATTTATTATAATGTATTTTATAATGGTATAATGTTATATTACAATATTATAATTGCTATATAACATTACAATAATAAACAAAATGAAGAATAGAAAAGAGACATGGCATGGCAAGGCAAAGTATCATATTGCCAATACATTAAAAATCTAGCAGACAAAGCAGATAATGAGACCTGTCAATGGCTAAAATCAAGTTAAAGAAAAAGACAAAGGGACTAATCCTGCCTGCACAAGATGAAGCCTCAAGAACAAATACATACAAAGCCAGAATTGAGAAGACAGAAACAGAGAGCAAATGCCAACTCTGCAAAGAAACCAAACAAACAGTGGACCAACTAGTTAGGTGCCACAAGAAGATCATATAGACCAGAAGTGTCAAAACGCATGGCCCACGGTTTGGATTCAGCCAAACTCTGAACTCAAATTCAACTCTGTGATAGGCCACAGAGTTGGCCTGTGGAGCCGTCCCGGAGACAGTGAGGGACTGGCCCCTGCTGTCCCGGGACCAGCCACTCCCACCCAATTAGCCATGATGACCAGGCCACATCCACCTCAGCCCCCCAAAGGCAAGCAAACTCCTGATGCGGCCCAGGATGGAATCAAATTTGACACCCCTGGTATAGACTGACTACAAACAACAGCATGACAAAAGGGCATTGGAATATCTTCAAGTTAATACCATACACCAACACCAAGCAAAAACTGGTGAGACCACAAAATAGACAACGTATTAGAAAATGAAGAAGCTAAAGTGCTTTGGGATTTTAGAATACAAACAGACAAGCCCCTGCCACATAACATCCCAGACATAAAATTGTTGATAAGAAAAACAATAAAGTTGGAATAATGGAAGTTGAAGTGCCTAGAGACAGCAGAAGAGAAGAGAAAGAATGAGAAAATCATAAAATACAAAGACCAGCAGACAGAAGTAGAATGCCTGTGGCAAAAGAAAACAAATATAGTATCAATAATAATAGGTGCCTTGGATGCAATCCCAAAACATCTGCAGCACAATGTGAACATCATCAGCACTGACAAAATCACCATTGGTCAATTGCAAAAGGCAGCTTTACTTGGAACAGTTTACATCCTGCGACAATGCCTTTAACATCATAAAACAATATCTGCCTGTCCCAAGTCCATCGGAAGGACTCAATAGGTAGATAAAAATGCCAAATCCGGTCTAAACATCTGGTTGATTAATCAATAAATAACAATAAGTTTTTTTTCTTTCATGTCTCTTATCATTCTAGTTCTTCCTTGGAATGCCTACAATTTTTTTATGTTTTCCTAAAATGTAGTGTCCAAAATAGAACATAGAATTCTAGTTATGTTCTAAGTAGACTATGATATCTTTTGATCTTGACACTATTATATCTATTAACGTAGCCATTGACATAGGCTCATTGGATACAATTGTTCAACCAGCTCTGTATCAATCTAAGAATACCATAGTCCAGCCCATATTTTGCCATACTCCACAGTAGAATCTCATGAAAAATATTGTTGAATTTTTGCAGAACACACTGCTGGACTATCATAGCTCTATCAAAAATATCACATTGGTTTGTTGTGATTTCTTCTTGATAAGCTCATGTTGGTTTTGCCAAGCAATGCATTCTTTTCTAATCAATTGCTTAATAATCTGTTCCAGAGTGTTGAGAAATGACAATGTTAAGCTGACTGGTATGTAGTTAGATGGGTTCTTTCCCCTCTTTTTTAAAGATAGGATTAACAGAATGAGGAAGGCTTTTTTCTTATGCCAAGCAGAAGCCAAATTCTGTGGTAGCATATAGAACAAATAATGATGGTGATCGACTGAACCAGTCTTGTTTAAAATAACAGGGTCAAAGAACTAAATATGCTTGACTTCAACTTCAGCAATCTTTTACATACACACATCACTAAGCTAACTCTTAAACATTGCTGTTGAATAGTTGTTCTTTCTTGTCATCTTTTTCCCAATAGTGCCTCCAACTATCATGGTACCCAAGGGTCAATCCATCATTACTGTCCGTGAAGATTCTAGAGCAGAGTTACAGTGTGAAGTCCGAGGGAAACCCAAACCTCCTATCATCTGGTCCAGAGTTGATAAAGAGGCTCCTATGCCTTCAGGGACCATGACAGTGGAGACTAATGATGGGAAGCTGCATTTTGAGAAGGTGACTCAAAAAATGAGTGGGATTTACAAATGCCAGACAGCCAGATACAATGGCTTCAACATTAGACCTCGCGAAGCCCTGGTGCAACTCAACGTACAGTGTGAGTATAAATGAGGAACATATGCAGCCTATATATCTTTACTGACTTTGCATACTAGATAATTTTGTTTTGTTTTCCCTTAATAACAAAAGTAGTGTGCAGACAAGGGTATGTTTGAGTTACTAGATCTTGTACTTCCACAGAGTCAGAAAAGTTTAAATCTCAGATTTAATGGTTAAAAATGTTATAATGGAATACATAATTTTACATGATATATAATATAGTATACAATTTTAACATAAGACAGTAGAATACTCAACTCAGAAACTGTCCTAAGAACTTTTCCCAGTTATATCCCAATGCTTGTGCTATTAGAGAGACCTGAATATGTTCACTGGTATCTGACCAAACATAATTTATGAACTGTCTGCCCATGATGAGTGAGGAAAGGGATGACTATTTAATCTCTGCTTTGTGAGCATGTCACTCTGTAAAGATATCCTGTGTGTCCTTGAATGGCCCAAGTTCTTTTGATGTCAATTAAAATGCCAACTGTGTTGCTTTCTGCATGTCCAAGAAACCCACATCTGCCCTGAATCCATAACAGTTACAGAGAATAGAAGAAATATTTTAACATTATTTTATGATATCGAAGTTTACTAGATAATAGAAATAGAATATTTCTACATATTAGAATATATACATGCAATTTTATTAATAATATGACATAATTAAAATTAAAGGAAAAAAGGAAATTAAAAACTTTGTAAACATATATCCAAAACAAAGCAGCCTGTTCAAAAGTTTACTTCTTTGGAAAAAAAATTGTGAATGGTTGATCTAGTACCTTTTCAGCAAAGGGTACTAGATACAAATACTGAAAATATTTTTCAGTATTTTCCAACATACAGTTGTGCAGAACAACCACACCCAGGAAGATTCTATAAGAGATCATAAATAGATTGTTTTGTAAGTACCTTGAAGACAATGCAGCAGCTATTAGTGGTCAGCATGGATTTGTTAAAAATGAATTTTGGCAACTTTTTTATTGGTTAACTTCTTTAGCACATTGTGGGAACATAATATTAATAACATATTTTGATTTCAACTAAGTATTTGAGAAAGTACCCTATGGCAATTTAATAAGCTAGTAATATGTAAATGGCATTACAAGGAAATAGAAGTATCTTGAAAACTATCTCAGGAAAGACTCAGTGGCAATCCCTTATTTCTTGGGTGAAATAGAAAATTGAAATGAAATTCAAAAACTTCTTGAGAGTTTGGTAAATGAAAAACTCAATAAAATTTAATAGAGGAAAAAGTAATTTAATAAGCATAAATCAGATGCACAGGTGTAGGATGGGGGATACATAGCTTGGTGACAAAACTTGTGAAACAACTTGTAATCATAGTTGATTACAAGTTGGATATGAATCAACACAATGTGTTGTGACTGCACAGAAGACAAATGCAATTTGAGGCTGTCTCAACCCTTTCTAGATCACAAAAATTAATCATTCACTTTATTGTGCATTGAGGCAGAGCCCATCTTGAGTATTGTGTCCATTTCCGAATACCACATTCCAAGAACACAGACAAACTGGAATTGGCTCAGAAAAAAGCAGTGAGGGTGATCAGAAGATTAAAAACTATGTCCTATGAAAAGAATTTGAAAGAGCTAGGAAAAGGAGGATGGTCCGAGCATGTGGTTACACTCTTCAAATATAATAAAGTCAAGAGCTATTCTCCAACATTCCGCAGTGTGTGATATAAAATAGTGATTGAAATTACATGTTAGAGGGGGAAATTAATTAAGAGCAGTTTACAATAGAACCAGATGACCTCCCTTTTAGAGGTTATGTTCAGGTGGCAGCTAGGGGTAAGCTTTAATTCTGATTCCTGTACTGGACAAGAGGTTAGATTTAGGGGCCTAAATAATTCCTTTACAACTCTGTGAATGTCACAAAGCATTAACAGTTCTGTGGAGTTAAGTCCAAATTGTGTCAGTAATAGGACATGCCCAGACTATGTGTGTTAATGTTGCAACTTGTGAACTGCATCTCCAAATGATAGTTATTACAATCAAGCCTTTATTTTTAAACCTTTTGTTGTGATATGACCAATCCTTATTAAATGTCCTTGGAGATTTCCAATGTACATAAAATAGAAGATACAGAATACAAAATACAAGAACATAATATTTGAGCCCATATTCCAAAAGATATTATTCATTAACCTACTTGGAATAACTATGAATCACTCCAACCACTCATGACTCTGGGCAATATATGTTCAAGAGAAAATTAAAATCAACAACATCATTAGTAATACAAAGGTTCCCATATTCCATAGAATAGGAAGGACTTAACAGTCATGCAAAATGCCAGGAGGAATGGGGTTTATATATACTTCCATACCCTTGAGATCTCAATAATAGGAACTCATGCAAAATGTCAAAGCATTGGTAGCATACCCCAATAAATGTTTAAATTAAATGAATTCTTCAACACACCTAGTGATAAACTGAATTCAGTTTTAATCTCTACACCAAAAAAATGTGAAACACCTTCATAACCACCAAGTGGATTTACATTAATTATAAAAATTGCCATCTTATTTCCCTCCCTGAAAGAAAACCCCAAACAATTTATTGGCTATTGTTAAATGTGGTTACCCCATAATATGATTTAATAATAAGGTTTATTTCTATAGTAACATTTTTATATATAACATAGAATCATAAAGTGGGAAGTGACCTAAGAGCTCATCAAGTCCAAACTCCTGAACACTGCAGAATTGTTCATGATAAATAATTTATCTGACCTCTGTTCAAAAATCTCCAGTGAAGAGGAAGAAATCACTCTTTGCAATAGCCTAATCCATTGATCAACAAACTCTTACTGTCAAGAAGTTCTTTCTAATGACTAAAGTGTATCTACATCCTTGAAGTTTCATCCCATTAGCTCTAGTCTTACCCTCTGAAGCAAGTGAGAGTAAGTTCAAATCTTCTGCAATATGACAGCCCTTCAGTCTCAAATTTCTCTTCTACAAGCTAAGTCTTTTAAGCATCCCTCTAGGACTTGGTTTCCAGTCATTTCTTCACCCTAGCAGATCTTTTCCAGACTTACTCCAGTTAAAAAAACACAAAAACTGGATGTATAGAACTGAATTCAATATTACAGGTGAGAGCTAACCAAGGCAGAGTAGAATGAAATAATTATTTCCCACAGTCTAAACTCTATGTTTCGCTTAATATTCTTTAAGATATCATTGTGTTCTTTGCAACTGCATTACAGTGTTTGGACACATTGAGCATGTGATCCACTAGTTCACCCAAGTCTTTCGCACATGTGCTGCTTTTGAGCCAGATTTGCTCCCTCCTGTACATGTTTTTTACCTAGACCCATGACTTTACATTTCTCCTTGTAAATGTAATTAAATTATTTTAACTAAAGTAAGACTAGTTATTGTTATAGTTTAACTACTATTAAAGTAATGGAACCAATTCAAAGTGTTGGTTATCACCTTTAAAGATTTTAATGGAATGGAACCAGGTTATCTGAGGAGCCATCTTGCCCCAAAGAAATTGGCTCCCCCTATTCACTTCAGTAGAAGAGGCCCTCTGTGGACCCATTGTTCAAGGAAGGGTCTATGAGATGAGCCTTCCCTGCTGTGGCCCCCACTTTCTGGAACATCTTGCTACCAGAGGTGAGATCCATCTCTACCTTTCTGGCTTTCATGAAGGGCTTTAAAACATGGCTCTGCCTGTTCATTTGGGGCCTCAATGGGGCACACTATGCTGGAGGTGGTTGGTTGAGTGAGACACAAAAGCTCACCCCCTCTGCTGTCCATGCTCTTTCTTTTTAACCTTTGTTCAATTGTTATTAATTTTAATATATTTTTATATTTAGGCTTTTATGCTATTGCAAGCTGCCCAGAGTCACTTTGAATAGTGAAGCTTACCCAAATTCCCTGGATCCTGCTTTTACCCTTTTTTGAAAATAGGAACAATGTTTGCCCTCCTCCAAGTCTTTAAAAGACTATAAGGAGTAGTTCTGCAATTACCTTTGCTTGTTCAATCCCTTATGGCCATGATAGTGAATCTATGGCATGCGTGCCACAGGTGGCACACAGTGCCCTCTCTGTGGGTACACGAGCCATTGCCCCAGTTCAGCTCCACCACATGTGGGTGCATGCCTCCTGCCAGCCAGTTAGTCGTCGGATCTCTGCCGTGCATGCGTGGCGGGGCACATGTGGGTGCACACACATGTGTGGGAGGGGGTGGGACATGTGCAGGGGGCCACGTGTGCATGCGTGGGGGATGGGTGCATGCAGGGGACACGTGCATATGCACGGGGCGTGGGGCAGGGTGCATGTGTGGGGTCACGCACATATTGCATTTTGGGAGTTCGGGTGCATGCTTTGGGCACTCGGTCCAGAAAAGGTTAGCCATCACTGCCCTATGGTTAATTCATCTAGCCCTGGAGACTTTAAACTGACTTAGATTAGCATTGATCCCTTAACAAAGGTGGTTCCTAATATTTCCCAGGATGCCAATAAAGCTAAGTTTAGCTTTTAAGTTCAGCACAGAGCAGAATAGAGTTTGGCTTGTTCCAACCAATGACCCAAACCAAAAGTAAATTGAAGATTGAATCCACCTAGATGAATGTGGTTGATCTTAAACAAAGCTAAGCAGGGTAGACTTGGTTGTTACTCAAATGGATAACCATAAGAAATCCTAAAGATGGCGATCAATTGACTTTTTTTTTTTAAGAAAAAAAAAACACTAAGCCACTTCCATATTTTTGCCATGAAAATTCCATTGATGTGTTCATGGAGTCACCAAGCTTGACTTGAGATCATTTTTACTCCTCCCCCCAAAACAGATATTAAAAATTTAAAGATAGAAATTACTGTTTATGCAGTCAATAAGTATTATCTGGCAATGAGGTCTGCCATAAATTCCTTTGAAGGCTGTATAAATTGCTTGTCCTTCACCAAAAATAAAAATGCTGCAGAAGCAGCTGCTATTTCAGAAGAGGAAGCTAACCAAAGCAGGG